GGGGGTGCGGGGGAGGGCGCAGCGCCTCCCCCGCAATGCAAATCAAATATAGACAGCGCTGGGCTGCTTCGTTTCTTGATTGATGTAATTGGGTGTCAAAGCTCAAGGTGAAGGTCTTATCATCCAACTTTGTGGCAGTGTCAATGCAAGGAAGATAGTCAGCAAAAGCAAAAGCAGAAGCAAAAGCAAAGGCAGAAGCAAAAAGCAAAAGCAACAAGCAAAAGCAAATGCAAAAAGCAAAAGCAAAAAGCAAAAGCAAAAGCAGAAGAAAGCAAAAACAAACAGCAAAAGCAGTAGGTGAAAAAAATCGGAAAAAAAACGTAAAAAACCTGAAAAAACATCCCCGGAAAAATAGGGGTTCCCCTTACTAGGAGCGATCGGACGCTACGAACGGAGCAAAGGGCATCGCTACGAACGGAACAAGGTGTTCCAACATGATTGGCACTTCGTCCAGTCTCACAGGTGGAAACCTTCTGTCCTGGCGTCGCGAAACACGCCCGCGACGCCAAAGAATTCATCCCCTGTTTAAACGGTGGCCCCATGTGGCACCATCAATGAGTGTTTTTGCATGATGGCTGTGTTCGGAATGTCCAAACTCACTCAGCAATGCTGTGCAAATCCTGTCCTTCATGGAACTGCGTATTGCATATTCCGTCAGGCCGCTGTGGAAGTGAATGGGCTGACAGGAAGAAGGGCAGAAGTCGAAGAGCTGTTCCACATCTGAACAAACTCAAAAGACATACGGCGCCTACCTAATGTTAAGTTTCCCTAAAAAGCTAGGAACCAAATCATTAGCGCGAGCTATCCTGTGTCCTGTCGGTAGTAGCGTCCACTTGCAGCTAGTAGCTACCTCTAGCTACCACCTCCTAGCGGCCTACCCCCCCCGGGGGCCTTAAGAAAACAAAAAAAGACGGACAACACTGTGCGAAGATACTTGTTCCTATATACTCTGAAGATCGAAGTACGGTAAAAGAAACTTGCAGAATTGAGAGGCGCAAAGCATACCAAAGCATCCAGTCTAGTGGACCAGAGTGGTCAAGTCTGATTGAGAAACGGCTTGCATGGATGGAATAAACTGTATACCAACTTTTTGCAAAGGTGCTTGAGACAGCAAGCCCTCACACCACCTGTACAACTTACTCTTTCTGTGAGGTGCATAACATGCATAACCGCCAAAGATCAACAAAGTCCACGCTTTAAACTACGGCAGTCAACCAAATCTGAGGCAGTGTGATGGCAGAATGGTTCAGAACCAGGTTGTTTGATGCGAAGCAACTTCATTGCTATTTGGAAACAATCTTGCAAACTTCCATGGTGCTGAAGCTTCCATGCCCCTTCCATGCTTGCATAATATACAATTCCTTGGGGATACCGAAGAAGCGGGGGGGCGGGGCATGCAGTGCACTCCCAGGCCGTTCAGAACGAGCCTCGAGGCACCCGATGCAGCCGCGCAGTTCCAGCTGGGACGTGCTCGTAGCATTGGTCTTGGCACGAGCACGATGGAGACTGTATGAGACCATGAGAAAAGCAGCAAAATGGTGGATCTTTGATGATCTTGCGGTTCAAGATGGGCCCACCTGCACTGGCTAGTCTCAACCCCCTCAATCCTCCATTAGTGCGGAAAATGGATTGAAGCATTTGGCACGGGAATCATGCTAGTTGTGTCCCGGCTTTGAACGGCAGCCCCATAAATGCCCTAACCAGGCCGGAGCAGCACCAGCACGTTTCTTGGTAAACCAAGGCCCCAGCGCCACTTTGACGAGGCTTCAACCATGTCACAAATAAGGGAGCCTTGACATCGGTGATGTGACTCACATCGATGGAGATCACACAAAACTAACATGGATGAACAGTCATATCACTGTCCATTGATTTCAATGAACCGTTGGTCCCAGACCTTTCAAGTTTCTACCAGAGTCCGAAAAAAAAGGAAAGCATACCACGGAGCCTTGAATCCGGGATCCGCCGGGAAGCGTGGAAGTGGCAGGCCTTGAAAGCTATAAAACCAACTTAGATGACTTCAGCCAGTGAGTTGGTGAGTTGAGACTTACTTTCCCCCAAAAAATGGGTGGGTGTCAGTGTGAGCACAAAACTGGTTCCACTCAAGTGTACACCATGGTATATAGATACAGTATTCACTTTGACTCGTTCACACCTTTCAATGCCTCATCTCTATGACTTTATGATTGTCTAGAGACTAAAGCATCCAACCTACAAATGTTTTTCTCACTAGAATTGGACTGCTTGAGTGGATCCTCCTACCTCCACTGAGACCAACCTCTCATCAGCACTTGAGGCAAGCGCTTTCCAAGTGAGCTCGGAGCACCTTTTGCAAGGCGCCACCGAGCGCTTGCAGCTTGTGACTAGAGGGTCAAGAAAAATTGGTTCTGTCAAGTTCTGTCTTTAAAGATCTCTAAGGGGCTTTTTGGGTAGGGTTCGAATACCAACATCTGGACCCGAATCCACCCTCATGCATCCTTCTCACCCCTGCTCAGCCCAATATTGTCCGTTGAACACCTTGATCAGCCTGTGTTTTCAGACACCTCAACGCACCTAGGAACTCTGTCAATTCATCAAATTCATTGCTGTTGTATATATATATATAACTTGAAGGATTGAGCATTGTCAGGTTTTGCTGGAAGGACCCTCCCCAATCAGCCTGGAAGCAAAAGCAGCAAAGCTCAGCGGCGCTTAAACCTCACTCGCAGATTAGACGGTTAAGCTACTGAGCAACAGCCAGGCTGCGCACCGCATGGCAAGGGTTTGGTGAGCAGTCCTGTCAAATGGTTTGAACATCACCAAAACCATTGGAGACACCTAAGCGGCACATTCCATTGTATCTCCTGGATGAGGCTCTTTGGCTGCATCGTGACCTAGTTGAGAGGCTTGGGCAAGGCCAGTTGCCAAGGGAAACTGCATGTGCCCCCAATTGCAGCAGAAACATGAATGACGCGGTGTCCAGATCAGGAAGTGGAACAAACGAAAGAGATCAGCCACAAGCATTCCAGTACAGTATTCTTGTCTGCCTAAGAATGAACACTTCTGAGTCTGAGTTAAATTGAGAACCTGGCTAAGAAGGGAAACCACTTTGGAACACGAAGAAAATTGCTCGCAGCAAGCCGAGAAGGGACACTTTGGGGCAAGTATGAGAATTTGTAAGAAGGCTTCTGAAGCAGCTCGGGAGGAAAAGAATGCGCAGGCCTTCGCTCCAGTCTGCTCCATCTTGTTCCTGCATGCTTTGAAGATCTTTTTAAGTGTCAGTGTGCAAATTCTCTCGTCGAAGTCTCTTAGAGCCCCACGAATGTCATGTGTTTGGACAGCGCAGCTGGCATTGCAGCAAAATGGAAGACAATTCTAATTATGAAGCAAAAACAATATCTGCTGTTCTTGCGATAGCTGCTGCTTTGCCTCTCTCCCTCCCTCTCTCTCTCTACCTCTCTCTCTCCCTCTGTCACATGCTGTCGCTCTCACTTCTGATGCTACTGTCATAGTCAGTCAGTTCTATTCGTCGGATATCATGTCCCGTGTGTGCAGACATCCAGGCAAGCAGAAATCCCAGTGTCGATGTTTGGAATTGATTCTCATTCAAACATCGGTTGAGAAGTTTTGTACAACTCAATGTGATATGTACGGCGATGCCCCTTCATTCACTTGATTCGTTGCTTCAATGTCTGATAATAACTTCACGGCCCTCACACCCAGCTTGTGGCGAACTTCATCCTCCGCTGGGATGCTCAGCAAAGCAAAACCGGGCGGAGCGAGCGTGGGCAGGGCTTCAATTCCTTCATGTGAATGGCATGCTCAGGCTTTTGTCCACTCATGGAAGTAGGACAAGCAGCTGACGGCGTTACCGGCACTTGATTTCTACCTCGCTACACCGACAGCAGGGCTCCCACTAAGTGGGTAGCAGCAGCCTGCCCGCTATGAAAATTCCTGAAAATTTGCCACTGGCCCAAAACTCATTACACTTTGAAGTGCATCACATCAGCTTCTTGCACCTTGGGCAAGCAAGCTCTTCCAAAATGTTTGCTCTAGGACTCCAGGATGGCTAAGATCTGAACGACGTAATCCTTCCCTTCGATCCGAAGCTTTCCCTTCTCTTTTGCTGCCTGCAAAATGAACCATACCACAGCGTGCCCCCTTGCGAATTCGTAGCCCTACATTTCGGATGGGCCGCCCAGCGCCTCCTCGGAGCCACACTCCACGAAGTCGTTGTAGCTCACGGTAGCAGCCTGGGCAATTGGAAGTTCTTGCCTTAGCATCTTTTGATGGTAGGAACAAAGGGCATGGCTACGAGAAACAAGTTGGCAATGCTTGGCATCATATCTGTTGGAAGCAATCCACTTCCCGACGAATTGGCACCTTGATGAAGCCTTTCTCGAAGTCCGTATGGATGACCCCGGCAGCCTGGGCTTCCCATGGGCTCATGCGCCACATCGACTCCACCCCCCCCCAATGGCCCACCATGGCCTTTGGTGCCTTCCAGCCTTCATGGATGGTCCACGCGCGAGACTCCTGGGCGATGGGCCAAGCTCTTAAGACGGACGGTGAAGCATCAATTTCCAGTCTCGCCTTTGGCCCGCAGGTGAAGTAGGTTCGTAAACCAAGGGTCCTGAAGAAAATGTGGTCACACGATATCATTTGGTTCGCTGATGCTGATGCTCACTGCTTGACTCATCTTGACCCCTTCCCCTGCGAAGTTAATAAATCAAAATAACTTAAGATTCTCCTGTAGGTGGCCTGTACCAAGCTCCCGCAGCCACTCTCCTCCAAAAGCACAGTCTACATCGCTCACATGAAAAATCGTCTGGGAGATGTGGAGAAGAGTGGACAGGTGAAATTGCATCTCCTTCACTCCCAAAGACTCCAAATAATCTGCTCGCTCTTCAGCATCCAGGCCCTTAAGTTCTGCCTCACGGGTACTCTATCAGTGGCGACTCGCTGGTGAGTGGTGGTGAGTAGTAAACATTGTAAACTCCCTGTGAAGCCAAGTCCAGCCTCAACCTGCGCAGAAACGACCACCACCTGGTCCCCTGCTTCAGCCGCATAGCCCTGTACAGCCTACGACAAGAAACTATATAAAATTCAAAATCCTGGCTCTCCTTTCCTGCAAAGCAACCTCACCAGTATCTTCACAGCAGGCAAAGCCCGACTACGACTAGGAAAGCAACAAGCTCATGTTCCACACACTGAGTGGCAGAGCACATGTCGTGGTAAACGCAAGGCCGAGCTGAAGTGGCCTTTGTGTTGCTTGTGATCTCTGATCTCTAGCAAATTTATGTTTGATGCTTGCCAGCCCGGCGAAGCCATTGCAGTGCTGTGATGTCTGCCTGTTTGGATGTGACTTGAATCCCAGCACTGGCACCAGCCGCCACCAAACCACCAAAGGATCCGCAGGGACCCCCTCCACGTGCCGCACACAGCAAACCCGCAGCGAACGTCGGGAAAAACCCCTGCGGAAAGACCACACCAGTCTTTGTAATCCATAGTGTGGGAGGGACCTCAAGGGGGAGAGAGAGAGAGAGAGATTTTAACCGACGGGACCGCACGCTAAATGCACTGAACAATTTCCATGCTGGACGATAAGAATGTTCAAAGAGGTTCCATGCTGGACAAGATTCTCTGAAAACAAGCACGATCTTAAAGCGCACCTTGACATAATCATTTCCCTCTGCGAGGTCATCCTGGCTTCTCACAAAACGATTGAGGTCGACATTAATTAGTCTGGTAGCTAAGCAGGGAAGTCAATGTACACATTCCCGTCCCATCATTATGTTCCTACTGTCCCGCCATTTAAGACATTATTGAAGGCTACTTAGAATTCAGCCATATCCCAGCCTCCGCAACATTGGCAGCATAGATGACAGGCTTCAAAGATAGCAGCGAAAGCGTCTCGAGCGGAGATATTCAAGTCCAGTCAAAAGATCTATGACGAAAACCCTTCAAGCATTCCGCAGAAAACACATTAAAAATTATATATAAGGCACATAAACAGGCATAAAGTATGAACAATCTATACCTTAAACGTACAAAACCATGTGACGTGCAAAATCTCAAAGGTGACAAAGAAAAATGGGCTGCACTCGTCGCCTTCAAGGCCTCCAAGTCCTGTTCAGACAAGCCTGCTGCTCGCGCTGGCGTGCCTTCCTGCCAAGCCAGGAGTGGAAAAAGGGGCGCAGTCTGAAGCAAAAACACACCAAATGCATCAATCTGCCGAAACGATGGAATTGTGGCTCTTTTGATGTCGCTTATGGTACGAAGGAGTCGACAGCAAGAAACTCATCCATCTGGTGGACCTTCAACAAGATTTGAGGTGCAGGATCATTCACCATACTAGTAAATTGCGATTAATTGCGGGGTCGTCTGCATGTGCTCAAGCCGCAGTCCCTGGTCCTTGATGCCCGGGTATTTTTGGTGAAAACGACCCCTTTGGTGAAAGCTCTTTTGGTGTGGCTGCAATGACCGCAGCGGCGGTCATTCAAGAGTAAAGCTTTCTTTCAGGTCCTCCAAGGCAACCAGAACCTTCTCCAAGGCCTTGAAAGGTGAAGAAGTCGATTCGAGGTGTGCTTTCTGAATGAAACCAAAAGCTGGCTTGTATGTTGTATGTTGTACAAGCACTTCAAACAGCGAGGTGACCGACTCGTGCCTGCTTCTCTTCCTTCGCACCTTTGACCTGGTCATAGCATGAACTAAACTCATCACCGATTGGTGTCGTGTGCCGCGTGCCCTGGTCGACTACTAGCGATGCCCGTGCGCCGCGTGCCCTGGTGCCTGGCCCACCACCTCTCTCTCAACTTTCTTCAGCCGCTTGGTGCACTAAGCTGCTGTTCTCTCTCTCTCTCTGACTCTCTGTGTCACCAAGCACATGGAAGCAGTATCAAGCAGTCAAACAAATCACTTCAACGGAATCTGTACACCGGCCACACATAGCAACAACAAACATGATACTTTCGCGCTCTTCCCTTTGTGTTTTGCGATCCAAGCAACCTGATCAGCATCTGCAAAAATCAGTTCTAAGCTGATCGTCTCAATGTCCTGGGACACAAATTTCCGATGATTAGCCGCTCAACGCCGCCCATCCCATCGGCTCAGTCGCAGGCTCGGACGGGGTCCACGGAGCCGTCCACATGAGTGACCTAGAAAAACATGTTGTGTCAGTCATGGGAAAACCATCGCAAGCCTATATATACAATTATATACATATATTCATATCATTACTGTATATATCTGTGTTGATCTGTGTTGTGTTAAGCTGCTCTTTTATTCAATCAAAGTACAACGTTGCAGTATTTGTTCGTCTCTTTCTTTAAATGTTGATGCCACGTCTCATCAATGCAAATCACGTGGAATGTGACCAAATCGTCAAATCCGGAGGCGGGAAGAGCTGAGCTCGCAGCATCGTCGTCATCGAAACATCGAATGACATGCACAATGGCGTCTGCAAGACATGAGGAAGTCGGAAGCCCGAATCGGGACATCAATGGACATCCAGGAATGTATCCAAAGACTCACTCTCCAGCCTACATTGCGGATGTTGCCCAGAAACTGGTTGCCGAGGCCTTCTCCTTTGGAAGCCCCCCTGCGCAAGCAAACAAGGCACTGAGGAAATGCTGAGTTGGCAGGGCCCACTGACTCAACTTTGTCAGGCGCCTCACCAGCCCTGCGATGTCAACGTACTCGATCATCTGAGCAATTCAATTGCGAAACTAACATGTCTCGTGTCATCATGTATAGTTAGTTACTGTAGTTTCATCCTCCGTGTGTCTAATGGGAAAAAAGAGGTGTCTCATCTTTTATCAGCACCTTTTCCATCCGTCAGTTTGGGCCTCATGAATTGTCTTCTCACTCTTGGCCAAACTGGCCAGCTTTTCCAAGCGTTCGTCTGGGACCTCAAAAAGCCGCACAAGTTCTGACTGGAATGAAGTCACACGTCAATCAGATTAAAAGCATCACACGTTGCCTCACCCAACCTTTACACGGAAAACAGGCACGATGGGTGGGTGCACCCACACAAATAGACACTGCGCGCTAAAATCTTTTTGGGCAAAGCCTGCAGCTTTGTCATGGCGTTCCCATGTTCCGGAGCTCGTCATGAATCTTGGAATGTTGCAAGATTGCGGTTCAACATGTACGTGGCACCGTAATGAAACCTCGTAGTCGGCTCCAGCAACATGCACAGCGAATGATTGAGAACATTCTCTTAGAGAATGTCTTCATGAAGATGCACAACGAGTCACCTGGTCTTCTTCGCTCTCTAGCTGGTCACGTCTCCATTCTTGCTGCTGAACCAACTTCGATTTGACCATCCCACGGAATTTGAATACATCAGCTTCAGTATGACCCAGGAATAGCAGACCAGGCTCAAACTGGAAGCCTCTGTTGGCCTGTGTGCAGGGTTGCCGCTTCAGGTGTGTCCACATGTGGATGGATTGCCATTGTGCTTCAATAAGTCTGATGCCCTTGAAGTAAAGAGCCCACTCGTCATGTCTTCAAAATCATAGCCAAATGATGCCAAGTGTAATTCTTTCAACTTTATCATCAGCTTAAGTAAATATGGTTATGGGTGCATATACATGACATGATACATATATATATATCTATATATATATATATCCTGTTACTATAAACAGTGGAACACCTTGGCGGTGTCTTTTGAAGCGCCTAAAAACGCTGCCTGGCCTTTCACAGGTGTTAAACTAGTTCGTGCAACAGGCCACCTTCGTTTCTCTGAACGAAGCTAGACAGTGCCCCTCAGAAGCTGCGGGACATGGTCATCTGGGCCGATCAAGTGCGATTGGCTGATTGACATAATCATGTTGCTTCTATTCGCCGCCAACCCCTGCAAAATCGAGAATGTGCCAGTACCAGTAGGAGGAATTTGGGGGCACACTCCTATTCGACACTGCGCTTGTGGGCTTGTGGATGCGTGGGGTCAGGTGGGCCAGCTGGGGGTGGCGTGGCCCAGCACCGGGCAGGCTTGCCCTTAGAGTGAAATATACAGCCGGAGATCTACATCGATTGGAGGTCCAACATGGTCCCATCTCCTCGATTGCGTCAGCTATGTCATTAGCCGTCTTGTCGGGTGGTGGCGGGAGAGAGCTCCGTGGCCTGAACCTTGTACTCTCTGACTTCTGCTTGACCGAGGGTCACCCGGCGCTTCCCACCTAAGTTCGGATGTGCGCTTGCAAGCTCGTTTCGGATGAATAACTACAGCTTCAATTCACTTCACCACGTTGCCTCAGCTTGGGACTACGAGCCTCCAACATCAGCATGGCCCGATCCTGCCCAATGACTCCACTGAGCGCTCTTCCCTTGTGCTGGCCACGACCAAAACAAGGACTGGCATGACGGCATTAAATGCTTGCTCAATTGCTTGCCGGACATGAACAATTACATCAAACATCACATCACAGTCTTCGTTGAAAGTAGAAGTTCAATATATATATATATATACACTATATGTGTATATGTATGTGCATATATAATATATATATAAAGTGTATTAAAGTGTTATATCATGAATATAAGTTTCTGGACGAATGCCTCCTCATCCAGCGAGGCAGTATCAAATGTGGCTCGTCGGCCGCCCTCCTGGAAATCAAGCGAAACCAGATCCATGCAGAATCAGGGCCAGGGACGTCAACCTAAATCAACCACCAGTTGGGAGATTGGGATTTGACATGTTTTGACTCACAAATCCATTCGAGAATTCCGAGGACAGATTGGACAATAGTGCTCGTCGAATAGTCGCCAACTGAACTGGTCCTGGGCAGACAATCCTTGGAAGCTTTTACTTCTCAGGATGGACTTGCCCGGAGATATTGGTGAAGTAACGTCCTGGCTTCCGATCGACAGCTTGTGAACACGTCAACTTGAAATGCACCTGCCACTGTTGCATCCTTACATGACTTGGACTTTGCAATAATCAAAGATCTTACATGTTCGCCCCAATCGTGTCATTTACATTCATTATCATTCATTTACTCACTCATCTTTCAATCGCAAGTCCTGGTTCACAGTCCTGGAATGCCTCAAAGGCCAAACAGGCTAGTGGAACAATGATATGCCTTCTCAATTGAGTTTTGCCTGGATCAGTCCGGTCCCGAAAACAAATCTAGATGCGCCCCAGTCTCGTTCATGTTGTCTTTTCCGCACGTCACCCCAGCCTACCTCCGCCCTCCAGCAAAACATTGAGCAGAATGAGCGCATCTCACAGCTTCCTCACGACTGGGGCTCAAACTTGAAGTTTGGCAGATCTCCGGTGATTGCCTGGAAGGCACAAAGACAAGACCTTTGATCATCTGCAACCGCCCCCAATCTCCGACTTTCGCCCCGTTCGGTGTAAGTTGTGATGAAAAGCCCGTGGGTCGTGGGTCAGTGTCATTTGTTCGCCCTAAGCCCTGAGCTTGATCTCCTTTCGGAGAGTTTGCATTCAGAAGCGTCTTCCCAGACGTTGTCCTGAAGTGCCGAATGGAGCGTCTGATTGAACCCAGAAATTCGACTCCGAGCAATGCAATATGGATCCATATGGTGATAGATGGCGCAATATGCAACAAGTAGCTGCCTGCCATCTGCTGGGAGTGTCTGGTTCTTATTGGGTGAGATCTCTGGCCTGCATTCGCAACGGCGGTCAAGCCAGTGAAGAGCCACCAAACGGCTGGGGCCCATGCTCACTTATATCAGCAGTACTGGCAACCTGAGGGTTGCAAGCCCATGCCACCCGTGTGCGGTGGGGAGCTTGAAGTTTGACGCTAAGGCCGTTGCACAGCCCATGCCACGCTTGGCAGGTCAGCCAAGATGTAGAAATACCACCCGACGTAGGCAAATCTTCGACTCCTCAGCCCCAGAAACGCAAAAGGAATCTACGCGCAACAGTTTATTTACATATCTAGCTTGTCAAAACCTGAGGTTCCTGCTGCCGGTGCAGAGGTTTTTAGAGCGCTTTTTCTGAATTGATTTGAGCCAAAATGCCCGGGTCGCCGCCATCTGACGCTTGCCACAAATTGCCCAGATTCAAATTAAGTATGGGACCACTAACAATTACAGTACCTGGTGCATTCTGTGGGATCTCATACATTCTATTCTACTGTATTTGCTAGAAAGGAGCCGGGCTCCAGGCTTTAGCTTTCCCCATATTGGGGTCAATGGTGCAGAATGGGAAGTTCCCTGCTTCGGCCTCAGCAGACCAGGACCGGACATGACTTGCACTGAAAACGGGGTGTGTGTCTCTCTCCCACCTCGCCAGTATCGCACAATGCGTTGAAGAGCGTGCTCTTTCCCACGTTTGGAAGTCCAACTATGCCTGGTGCAGGTGCTGCCGGCATTGTAATTCTCCTTCCACCCCTAGGGCAAAGCCAAAAGTATCCAACAGTAGATTCCCTGGCCTGTTTGAAGCCCTCGGCACGCAACCCCTGAGCCTCAAACCCAGCTACACAATGGTTTGGCAATGGTTTGGATCAATGAGTGTTGTTTCACAAAAAACTTCTGGACAAGTCTGCGTATCAATGTGAGTGAGTCAACATGACTTTTACCATCTCCAAGAACGCGATGTCCAACCAAAGGTGAGGAATGCTGATTTAGACTGAGGCTGCGATCCTGGTGTTCTGCTTTGCTTCATCTGGACGTACGATCTTGAACTACCAGCCTGAGTACAAAAGCAACCGGAGTAGTCTGAAGATGACACAGTCTGTCTGCGACCCACGCCAAAGTGGCACCTGCAGTAGATCTGGACCTGGAGCCAACTTGGAGCTGACGAGTGACTAGTGATCCCTGTGATTCCACTATCTTCCAATCATCATGCTTTTCTTGTTGTATCCTCTTGTACTGTGAGTCCACCCATATTCTATTGAATTGAAGGTGAAATAGGGCTCAGCAAGGGCCAAAACATACCAGCCAAACATCCGTTCAAGTCCAGCAAGTCAGGTAAGCCCGTTCAACCCTTGCGTTCGACCACCTGGCAGTATAGGAGCAATCCTCTTCAAACCCCTTGCGCCTCCGGTAGCCATAACTAAGGGCAGCAAAGAGACCGGCTGCACCTACCTGGGGCCGGGCAGTCCCAAGGATTTGGTGAAAACCAGGTGGTGAAGCGCCAGCATTGGCTTAAAAGCACCACACACTGGCTGAGGTCAGCTCTTGAGGCCATGCACCAGGGGCAAGGGAAAACGCAGGTCGTGCTGCCTGAGCCTCAAGTACAAATAGCAAACATTAAAACTGTCTCGACAATTGGAAAATGCTAAAGCACTATATAAAACATGAAAAGCACAGACTTTAAAGACATGAAAAGCAACAGCTTTTTAAGCCAAGACAGCGACTCTCACAACTTGGTGAGGCCTCAGAGCGACTCGACTCTGGTGGCGGTTCGCCCTCGAGTGCACTGGGTCCGCAGCTCACATCTGATTGGCGCAGGTGAGCGCAAACCTCGCTCTGCGATTCCGAAGCTTTCTGAAACTGAGGTATGCTTTCAGGGAATGAAACTGAGGTGTGCACTTGCCTGAAGCATGGCGATGCAGAAACTAAAGGCTGGTCTGGGACACAAGCATGAAAGAAATAACTCGAGCCACAGGCCACATCAAAATCTCCTTCAGCCAGCTTGGGACATGTTTGTGTTGAGTCTACATGGTCGTACGTCCATGGACGGTCCAACAGTGGCAAAAGTCTACTTTGCGGAGCCCACATCTTCACTGTGGTCTTCACAGCGGTCTTCACTGTCGGTGCAGGGCTTGAGAAGCCGTCCATTCCTTCACTGGTCTGGCTGCCACGACCCACCTGACAGGACTCTGCTAGAATCCCGCCTGGCGTCTGCTGTTGGATCATGCATGGAGCCCAAGCTCCGGCGGCCGCCACAATAGGGCGTCACACAACTTGACAAAGTTCATGTATTCTGGGGTGGAAAAGGCGCCACTGGATGCCAAGAAAAGAGAACACTGCCCATCTCAGGATTGGCCTCCACCTCTGGTTGCCGTGCGACAATCTCAAAACTACAACCCTGTCATTCACCTGCCACACGCACTATCACTATGAGCTTTGCACATCCTTGAAATTTGCGCAATTACAAGGCCTTATCATCATGAATTCTGAACTCTGTTCTTGTCTTCATCATTCACTAATAAAGTACGAGTAAGTTGTTCCTCAATCCGCTAAAATCTGCATCATCACGCCGCCAAACATCTTAGGTCTAGAAAGCCGGGCCCCAGGCTTTAATCTTCTTCATGATGGGGGCAATGGTGCAGGACGGTGAATGTGCAGGTTGCTCCTGCACATCAGCGTCCGGCGAGCAACAGGCGGATCTAAGGCTTACTTACTTGCAAATATCAACCACTGTGCGCAGGCAGAAAGTTAGAACATCGCTTGGTTGATCCGATCCTGGTCTGGAGTCTGTAGACTCATGTAGTTTGGAGGTCTAGGTCCAGCCATCGCCATCATGTAATCATATGTGACCTGGATCTGCAGCAGGGCGCATTTTTGCCAATGTTGCGCGCCACCGCTGTTCTGAGCTCATCGAAAGTTGAAATCTCCGCTGCTGACGATTCCTTGGATGGTCGGACAATTGCACGTCAAGTCCCTCAAGAGGGGGTACATGCCCTGCAACTGCTGTCGGCCATAGCCATAACAAGGCTTATTCATGCTCATTCCTCCTAAGTTGGATGGCGAAGGTCCAAGGCCATTGGTCCCAGAATCGCTTGCAAGCCTTCACCTTGCAAGAGACTCCTGAGAGCCAATCCTCTCTACTTGCTGCATCTTGCTGCCCCAAACTTCTCATAGCCCTTCATCGGTTTTTTGGCTTCAAGACTCTACATGGGTCGTTGTCTTGTCGAAAACTTGAACAAGTTTCCCTCAACATCCCCACCGTCTCCTCAAGGCTGCTTGAAATGCGCCCAAGATCTGTCGCCGAGCTCTTGGATTCACACGCCTCACCAGAAAAAAAAAGGCAGATCAAACTCACAATACCACTCCAAGAAAAGGATACGCGGATGATCATGGATGCATGATGCATGATGATGCATGTATGGATGCGCCTGCAAGTATTCAGATGTGTTTCGAAGGGGTCCTCCACACACAGTGGCGCCACTCGCCAAGCACGGCCCTTGCTGCTGCGTGGCAATGCCGTGGCACATCGCACAGATGCAATCCAACAGTCCCACCTCAGCGCCGCTGGGAGCCCCGTTGGCTTCTTGCTACTACAGGTGAAAACGATTCCCAATGAAACGATTCCCAAGGAAGCTTTCTAGTAAAGTAAATACACATGCAAAAATATGCGAAACATGATTCAAGAAAGAGAGGTCCCATGCCGAATGCAAGCGATTCTGTCAGCAAAAAATCTGGTAAAACCCTCTTAACCCAAGGAACCTGAAGCTGCATATAAAAGTAAAGAAGTCGACCAATGTACGTCCAAGCTCTTCGTGAGACAGACTTGAAACTGGAGGCGCGTATGGTGCGTCGTCCAATTTCAACTTGCTGAAATCTGCCGGAGGTCTTGGCAAATGTCCCCGTATTTGCAGATAAAATATCACCATGAGCAATACAGAGTAGGTGCTCAGCAAGCCATTGGGCGAATCATTGACACCGCGCATTTTGCTCCAGGATGATACGCAACTGCACAAAGCCATCACTCTTCCTGGATCATCCTTCAGGCATTCCCGCAAGAAGGCAGTGTTCCACAGTCCACACGTTGTGCCCAAGGACAAGTCGAATCGAATCCCATGAATCTTGCCCCTCACAATCGGTATCCTCGTCACACACATTCACACACAAAGTCTTGGCATTCGTCGCGTTCATCAAAAAGTTGACGTATCAGGTTGCAATTGTAAAGTTTCCAGTTCATAAGAGGAAAGAAATAAAGTTCATAGGTGTTCGGAGGACATTGCAATTTGTTTTTCTTGATAATCTGTCCTTGCGTTCGGAATGCCCTGGAGCTCCTCAGCACCTGCTCGACCCAAAGCCTCCTCACACTGGGAGAGGATGCTGGGGACATTGGAACGAGGTAGCTCCCGGTTTCCTGCAAAACACAAACGCCTTGTAGCTCAATCAGGCTGCTCCTTCAAAACGATTGCTGAAGCCATCATTTTGAAGGAGCAACAAGCCATACGAACTTGCATCCTGCACCATCCAAGTCCAATAGCAAATCCAGATCGGAATCTCTGCGGGCAAGCCCACTGGCAGATGTACCGAATAATGACACTTCCAGCTTCCTTCGTTTGCAAAAAGAAGCTGCCTTCCCATACGGTTTGTCCTATTCTCCAAAAATCGCTGGGAGACCTGGGACATTAAGTAGGGACAGCAAAGCAAATCCACCACAACCATGCCCCTGGAACAGGCCCTGTGTCGCTCATACATCCGGGTCTCGGCCACGTCAACCGAAGGTTCAGCGCAAGTGCTCGCCTCGGTCAGAGAAAGGCTGCAACGCCTCCGCTTCTTTCCACTGTCCCACTGTCGCTTCCTCCTCTTTCATCCTCTTTCATCATCTTTCCGTTTCCTTCTTTGGCCTTCCGGGTTCCGACAAGCTGCTGGATATCGGAAAAGACACACCATCTTTGCTCCAGGTCCTGTAGTAGGGTCCACACATGACTGATGCCGATGTAGTAAACAATAAACAATGTACACTCCTGCACTCCTGGCAAAACCCACCTTGCCAAGTCTTCAAATTGTTGCTCACAAGAAGGGCTCAGAAAATGCTATATTTAGGTGTTTGTTACATTGAAGTAATGCCAAAATCAGGTTTGTTTTGCGTGCAAAGAAGGTAATCTCACCACTTCTCTGCGAACAGTGCCGAAACGTCCCGCTCTTCTTCTCACTCGGTGTGTACAACAGTCCGACGTCCTGAGTACGGGGACCCCACCGCTCCATGAAGCGTTCCATCTGCTCACCGATCTCTTTGAACAGCATTGCATCGCCGCGGAGGTGAGGCAGCACAATATCATTTGGAAGTCCTTGAAACAAGAAGAAACACAGAGAAAGCACCTGAAACCAGTCAAACCTACTAGAGACAATCGAAAATGGTTTCTCAAGATGTGTCCTTTTCTGTCTTGAGACCTTTAGACCTTAAGACGTTTCTTTCTGTTTATCCATTTATATGTTTATTCCAATTGCAGTACTTATTACATTTGTTTCAGTCTCACATCGCCATGGCTCCAAGCTCTGGCCCAGGTGCCAGGAGAGCTTGTTTCTGACAAATCTCATGATAGCAGTGGCCTGCCAAGGACAGTCGCGCCAGCTGCCAAGAGCTCAATGAGCTCAAAAAGTGTCATCTAATATATATATATACACACACCTGTTACCTGTTATATATGTCTACACATACATGCATGTATAATATTCATGTAAAAGAATCTAGGAAAGCAATCCCTCTCTAAAAATGTTCTGGAAATCGTTAGCTTGATAGTAGGCATGGCTCAGCCAACGCCTCAATTGCAACCTTGTCATTGTTCTCACTTCAAGTTTCTATTGTTTCAAACTATCTGTCTGTCAGCTGCAGAGTAGCTAGAAACCATTCACCATACTCTGTGGAGGCTTCTTCATTTGCAGCAACTCCACATAGCCTTCGACCGCAGTAAAATGCCGAGGGGGGCGCTGGTAGGATGGCCATTTCTCCGAGGCCTCAAGAGAAATACAACGCGAACATCAACGCCATCAAATGACCAGCAAAATCAAACCTAAACCAACAGTGGCTTCGCAACTTGCACTTGAACTCGTGAAGTTTGAGTCGCACATGAGACTTCAGGCTCTTCACCCTCCATGTCAGAGCTGTCATCAATGTCACTGTCCTGTTGGGAGACATTCGGAGGAAGCTTTGGACACGTTTGCACCCTTCCCCAAACTGCCCCAAACCGCAGTTCTTTTGTTTGTTGCTACTTTCCGTCCCTCCTCGTTTGTTCCCTTCTTTGGCAATGGCAGACCAGCCGCGTGTGCTTCGGTGTGGTTGGAATCGCCCTTCCAACTCTTGTGGCCTGGATCAATGATGTTCTACTAGTAACAAGAAGCTACTAGGGGCTCCTGGCATCGCTACTAGGAGCAAGGACGCTACTAGGGGCTCCGGGCCGTACTACTAGGAGCAAGTAGCTACTAGTAACAAGAAGCTACTCATCTACACCCACCACCCGGTAGGTCCGGTAGGCTGCGGACAGGACACACAACGTAATTCGGTCCCCTGAGACCTGGAACCATGCGGTGTACTTCCGCACAAACTTCTCCAAAGGCCCCAAGCCATAATCTCGCCTTAACAATCTCTGGTAACATCTCGTAACTCTTGTTCTTGCCAAACAACTCTTCAGCACTTTGTCCGACCACATCCAAGATGCCAATGGACACTACTGCGCAAAGCTGCAATGTGCTCAGACAAGCCTGGCTTGGTCTCCAAGTGATCCGCCAATGCATGCAATGCGCCTGCGAAGCGGAATTGGTGCCATTAAGCTGGCGTCATTCTCAAGAAATGGAGCTGAGAGTTTGATCTTGATATGGGACATCGGACAAGGCGTCTTGATACGCGTTGATTGTCATCATTATGACATCGCCTTTTTCACTCCTGTCTTTGTCCTCCCATCGCACGTCTCTGCAGGCAAAACTGGCGGATGAGAGTCGGATGCCAAGCTCCAAACCTGGTGTCTGCCAAGCCTCTGGGCCAACAAGTGCCAGGACATCAAACTGATCGAAAAGCGAAATCACTAAACAGTCCAGGCTGAAGGCTGAATCGTTCAAGCTGCATCTGAACTAACTCCAAGCAGCCCATTCTAACATCTCCCCCACATGCGGCGCAAACTCTGCTGTCCAGCGTAGCTGTCGTATCACGTCCACAAAACTTAGAAAGCGTCCTCAAACGCGACAAAAAGGAAGTGAGCCGTTGGAAGTGAGCCGTTGAAGTGAACATATTGTGGAGAGTTGGAAACTGTAGTACGCTGCGCGGCTTCATTTGGCCCACGCGTCCATACCGCAATGGTCCTTCTTGCAGAGGCCCTCTGACAGATGGATCCTCAGCACAGCCATCCTATGTCCCCGACTTGCCAGTACTCCAACCAAACACGGACCAAACTCCAGAGAATATCAAAGGTTTCGACCCTCCGATGATGGATGATTCGCCACAAAACTGTTGCTCCCTTCAAACCCTTGGTTTCGAGGTTGTTGCCCGTCCTGGAACTCCATGGGAGCCAGCGGCTCAGCAATGTCGTTCTGCCACTTCTGCAGAGTCCCCTTCACAACTCCTGAGAGAAATGTTCAGATCATGCGTTGTCATTATACTCACTGACGGTGTGGGTTTGTGTGGCAGTCCTGCAACATGTGAACATGCCGAGATTCAACACCCAATCACAGGAAGTTGGGCCAGGAAAATGTACAGGAAAATATGTCAAACATGTTCGAATATATGTTTTGAAGAAAGTGGATCTCCGAAACTGGTGCTGAAGGTACTGAATATAATCGACATGTTTTCCTGTACATGTTCCTGGTCCAACTTTCTGTGACCCAAGGTTTACACACTCTAAGGCGGCGCTAAATATATGTGTAAGTGTAAGCGTCGTTCAGCGCCCCATACTGCATAGTTCCTCTTGCTGAGCGCGCACTGCTGCCCTCCAAAGTTGTGGTCAAACAAGGAGAAGCACGCCTCATTGTTTTGGACTCCAAGCTTGCGCGATGGCACCAGACCCCAAGTCTTGAGGCAAGGAACTAGAAGTCTTGGAAGAGTGAAATGCTCACGAAGGCATCGATAGTCATCGCCTTGGCAATGCTATCAAGCCTCTCTGTCAAGCTGAATGTGTCACCTTCCAAAATGTTGGATGAAGTTTTGTCAAACCCCACGCCGCTGTTCAACAGGAAAACTAACTTTAAAGTTTAAAGCATTCTGAAGCATTCCAGGTGGGATTCATCTTCCCCAGAGAGGTGTCAAAAGTTCCAACAGATTTAGACCCACTCTACTGCTTGCAGGCTGAGTCTCCATCCCAGGCAAGTTGGTCGTGCAACTGCCAGTATGAAACATGCTTGTTTCCATTGGCAATGTAAATGTCAAGTAGATCCTCGAGGAAGAGGCGAACAGTGGATACACATTTCTGCCCAATGAGTGAATGCACTCCAAGTCTGACAATCTGGCACTTCAACAGTCCGCAATTTTTGTCTTTCGACCAAGCTGCGGCTATCAATCTACTCAGCGCCAGCAAGTCCACATGATCTCTCAAAGGGGACCGTGGGCGAACGGAGGGAACCCCCAAAGGACGCACAAGGCCAGTCTTTGCATTGCCTTGATGCACTACGAACATCAAATCTATCACAATCACCATTGTCCATACACGATGTCCGTGATGATCCAATGGAACATTTCGGAATGGTTGAAATGTGTTGAAATTGTTTCAAGTCTTTACGTCTTCTTTGTTTTCCTCAAATTGCATGAAAGCAGCTGCCACCGCAGACGTGCTTTCGGCTTTGTAAGAGGGCATGCAAATCAACATCGGGCTGCAAACGCAGAGCCCATCGCACCAACTCTATGTCGACGCAGTCCCGGCCAATCTCTAAGAGGTGCAGCAAGCGCTCATCAAATATGTCTGAGTCAATGCCTCACTTCGAGCCCACATCGTCAAATCATATCAAATCCCAGTTTTCTTCGGCAACCCACCAGTCGGGTACGTACCTTGCCTGCAGGCAGGCTGCCATGTTTCAGCACCGAATGCATTTGTGGAGTGGTGAATTCTGGAAATGCCTGCTAAACACTTGCAAGACTTTCTAACTGTGCGGAGAGAGGATGAAAAATGTAGGTACAAGGTAGGCCACATTATAGTGCAAGTGTCCTATATAGAAAGGAGAGTGTGGCGCAAAATGCATTACATGCTAGGAACAAGGAAGAACAGGGCACTCAAGCTTGGTGGTGCATCATCGCTGTCTTCGCTTGAGCAACTGCTATTTGAGGCTGATTTCAGGGCAAAGCGTCCATCTTAACAAACGAGAGACTTATCAGTATCATAAATGTATCCATCGAAAGTCTAGCAGTGTCGTTGCGGCTGCCCACTTGCCAGAAACCCAATGCGTAAAGACTAGAAAATCAACCCAAGTCGAGAGTAGGCTGCGTGGCCCACCTACATGATACTTTTGGACCTCAAACGCATGAAAAATGCAAGTCTTATCGCGGCTTGGATCAATGAAGTTGGTTGGCCAAAACCTGCCTTTGTCCAAGTGCCCTTGCGTAGGGCGCAATATGTTTAATTGACTTTAATTGTGTTTTCTGGAAATGACATGAATCATGAAAATGACAATGTCTCGGAAAGCGAGTGTTGTATTCAATATGTTCCCTTGAGAATGGCCTTTAATGGTGCATGTGGCGCCAAAATGTTTACCTTTTCGGTTACTTACATTTCTCGTCCCATGCATCGCTGTGTCTAAGGGTTGAAGAACCCAGGTTCAAAGCCTGGGCATTCCACCTTGACGAGCGTGCCTTGGCATCCTTGCCAAACAATGTCCTACCCACAACTGTTGAAACTAACCACCCGTGCGTATGTGTTTTTAACGAATGTAAAAAACAACGTTTGCTGTGCACAGAATAGCTTCCTCAAACCCCGAATGAGTGATGTAAATCAACCAGAGTCAACACATATGTCACATATTCAACAAATCCCCATCGCCCCACGAATCAGGGACGTCGATCCTGTTCAAGTCTGCGTTATCCAACAGAATAGACAGCTAGACAATACTGTGGCCCGAGAGCACAGTAGGACTAACATATAGGTAGAATGGATGTTGGAAAATGAGACAACAAAAAGGGAATCAGTCCTAGATCTCTACAGGCATTTCTGGCTGACACATTGTTACACGGCATCTTAATGTCTAGAACTAACTCACGACGGCGACGACGACGACGAAGACGACGACTACTACTACTACGACGACGATGACGGTGAAGATGACGTGTGTGATGACATGAAGGCGCTGATGACGAAGGTGGTGATAATGATGATGTGAAGTTGGTAGCTGTTCTTAGGGAGAGCCCTCTGCGAGCGCCCACCAATCATTCCGGCGCGGTCAGCAGCGGAACTGAACGGCCATTCAAGCACACTTTCCACCGACATCACACCACACATCATCACACCGCATGGCACAGCAACATCACGAACGTAGCTTCGCCACACTTTGTGCCGCGGACTGAACGCGACAGTGGGGCACCACGCCTCGTTAAGACCATCAATCAGTCCGCTCACCCGTGGCACGCTGCCTTTACAAATGAACGGTCCTGAGCCACGGCAAGCCGACTTTCCACCAGGAACATCATGGACGAAGTATGGCCACACCGCGTGCCACTACTGCGCCTGGAGCTTCCAGAAGCCACTCCCCATGCTACGTGCGCACGACAAAGTTGCCAGATACGAGCCCGAACATCCCAGAAGCTCCTCCCCTTACACTACAATTGTACTGCAAAGTTGCCAGTTGCCAGCACATTTGTACTACAAAGTTGCCAGCTCTGAGAGCAGAGTCCCAGAAGCTACTTCCTGGACTCCATTTGCATTACATGCATGCTACCAAAGTTGCAAGTTCTGAGCCTTGCGCACACTCGACACACACACACACACTCGACACACACACACACACTCTGACATTGGTTTTCAGTTAACTCAATTGCCACGTTGGGAAGGAAGGTGAAGAACAGTAAGGTGAAGAGTCCGCAAAACTTGTAGATGTTTGAACAAAATGGTTTGAAGTCTGCAGAAAGCACGAAAACGAAACGCTCACGAAAACGCGCGGCTCAGTTGCAAGAACGCGGTGGGAAGGTTTAGGGGGAGTATCATGAAGAACCATGAAAACAAACAAGGTCAATTGGACAGCTTGTTCAACCGTTAAAGCAGGTACACATCCATGGCCAGTGGATGCTTCCCTCTCTGATGCCTAGCTTCGTTGGACACAGTAGCATCAGAGAGCTCTGTCCCCCTGCTTTAAATTAAATTAGACCCTTGGAAACCGGGTTTGACACACACACGGTGCCGCTTCGCGGCGCGCATGTGAAAGACCTGAATAGTCACCTAAAAAGCCTTAGAAACAAAAGAAAGACAGAAAGAGCAGCGCTAAGAGGGCAAGAAAGAAAGGTAGGTGTAGAAAAAGTGAATACTTAGCCCTTGACTGGGGTAGGGAAACGAGCCTCAAGAGCAACCTAAAAAGCCTGAGAGAAAGCCCAACAAACGACGAAAAGCGCAAGAAGGAAAGCGGGGGGGGCAGGGAGGGGCTGTATGTCCATGTGTGTGTACATGTGTGTGTCTGAATACCTAGCACTCTAGAGTTACTGATTACTTAGCAGAGATGAATTAAGTGCAATAGCTAGGGAGCGGGACTTTAGTCTTAGACCGCCCGGGTAGGATAGACTAGAACAGGAACAACACAGGGAAAGGCACCGACACACAAGTGTGTCGAGTACCATTTCCCTATGTTGCCCTAAATAGGTAGGGAGTAGAACTCGGCTGGGGGGGGGTTTGGGAAACCTGCCTCATTGCGGGTGGATTACCGTTTTATAGCCCGGCGGCTCTGGATTCGGTGGTTGAGATTGTCCGTTTTTTGGCCCGGCGGCTCAAAAATCCGTTAATTCAGTTATGAAAGTGAAGAAGCAAAGGGTCAGTTATAAATATGAAGGACCAGTGAATTCCGGAATGGCTTCGGCGCCTCCTTTCGGAGGGTCACACCCAGCACCCAAGTGGGAAGACTGAGCGGCTCACACTCTGACATTGGTTTTCAGTTAACTCAATTGCCACGTTGGGAAGGAAGGTGAAGAACGGTAAGGTGAAGAGTCCGCAAAACTTGTAGATGTTTGAACAAACTGGTTTGAAGTCTGCAGAAAGCACGAAAACGAAACGCTCACGAAAACGCGCGGCTCAGTTGCAAGAACGCGGTGGGAAGGTTTAGGGGGAGTATCATGAAGAACCATGAAAACAAACAAGGTCAATTGGACAGCTTGTTCAACCGTTAAAGCAGGTACACATCCATGGCCAGTGGATGCTTCCCTCTCTGATGCCTAGCTTCGTTGGACAGAGTAGCATCAGAGAGCTCTGTCCCCCTGCTTTAAATTAAATTAGACCCTTGGAAACAGGGTTTGACACACACACACACGACTCCAGGGTTACGCCAGGACACACCACATGTTCGCTGTACAGCTTTACTTTAGTCCAGTTTCAAACACTCGAAACGCACAATTCTCGCAAAGGTTGCCCCAGCCACACGCCAATTTGCACAGCGCTACAGTTTTAGACACTCGACACGCACGATTCCCACAGAGGGTCGCATCTTGATGAACACGGCCGGGCCCGCCCCAAACCTCAAGACGCTTTCTAAGAATGTTGAAGTTGTAGGTGTTCTGTAGAAGCTTTGTAGGGGTGTGTGACAAGTACAGCTATACACCTACATCTGAATATGCCTACATCTACACGCCTGAATCCTACAGTACATCTATCTATACGCCTACATCTAAATACGCATGCATCCAATGTACACCATTGTACACCTACATCCCTACATCGGTAAATCTATCCACCTACATCCAAACACCTACATCTGTTTACACTGTACACTGACATGCATAAACACACAAATATCTACATACAAATATCTACAGACGGTTTAACACATCATGATGATGATGGTGATGATGATGATGATTATGATGATCTAAACAGAGTCTTAACACTTGATCTTGATGATGATGGCGATGATGAAGAAAATGATGATAGGGGAGATGAAGTTGGTAGCTGTTCTTGAAGGAACCCTTCGCAGGTGAACAAGGAAACAACATCTTTAAACAAACGCATGAGGGGCTCCCAAAGCCTTGTATGCTGAGAATCGCTTCAACACTTTCCCAGCAAAAGACACTTCGCATCTTTTGTCTCACCCAAATGCATGCCAACATCACATTTGTGATGGGCCGGTCACTTCGGCTCTTCCTCAGACTCCTCAGGCCTCGGTCATCTGAGATGGTACAAGGGACCATTTATAAGATCATTCGCAGTGGAACCCGTCTGTGTGACATGGAACTGCTGCCCGTGCTTGCTCCATGCCAACAAGGCGCAACTCCACCCCAAGGATCTCTGCAACCATCTTCTTGCCTTTTACTTTGTTCAGCACGCGGCCGAAGTCGTCATCAGGTCCGCTCAGCGTCCTCCCCAAACAGAAAACGAATATAATTTTCAAATGTAAAGGATGGAGAACTCTGCGTCCTGCCTCACATTCGGGCCAAAAGGGCATTCGTCAAAGCAGTCGTACTCACCAACCTGGAGCAGTACGACCCCCCACGTGCAGAACAAGGTCGAAGGGTCACAATATGTCACAATGGTCGAAGGCTGGCCTCAATGTTGGTCCCTTCAGCCAAATCCTCAAAGACCTTCTTGAGCTTTGCCCCTCCACCCCTGCCTGCGAAGCAAAACGCGTGAGGCGGGAGAGATCAAAAGGTGAGGAAAACTCTGGTCAAAGCCAAGCGACGCTTGCAGTCTCTGTGTATGCAAATCTCAACCTTGGTGATCTCACGCCTCATAGCACCACGATCGAATCAAATTGAATTGGTGATCAGGGAAAACGACGAGTTGGATTGTTCATGAGATATGCTCCCTGCTGGTCAATCATGGCTCTACAAGTAGCCCGTGGGAGAGTTGAAGTATTAGAGTCTTAGAGTGAGTTAGACATTACAAATAGCGGGCGAGGGGCCCAAGGGCTAGGGCCCAGCAAAAAAACTGCAAGTCCTCCGTCTTTCGACATATTCAACCTTGATGCTGAAGCTCGGCACCGTCCCAATGGGACCCTGAATAAATGATGACTATCCGACTATCCCTCCAACATCAGGAAACTAGACGACGGTTGGCCCGAGAGCGAGACATGTAATTGTCCAGCACTGTCGAAAAGATGTATAGAAAGAGAGAGAGGGTGGATGTGAAGGAGTGACAGTGTGGATGTGCAGGTGCGATATAGATCTGTAGATGTATGGAGGTGGAGAGGTAGATCTGTGGATGTGAGCGTGCGAAGATGTAAATGCACAGAGACGAGAGAAAAGATATGTAGAAAGAAAGTAAGTAAGAAAGAAAGAAAGAAAGACAGGACAGATGTGAAGGAGCGACAGTGTGGATGTACAGATGTGATATAGATGCGCAGATGTGTGGATGTGGTGAGGTGGAGAAGTAGATCTGCGGATGTGAGCGTGTGAAGATGTAAATGTAGAGAGGTGAGGGGGTGTAGACGTAGATGCGTCGATGCAACGGCAGCGCAGCCGCAACGTCAACCTTAGTTGCGCAAGTACAACGCTGAAGTTCAAATAGAACTGAAGAACATACATTTCACACTGAAGTTTCCACGAACAGGGCGACCTGAGAGTAAACGACGTCACGATCATGACAAGCGACTCGTGTATTCCAAGCGAACATCGTTTGTCATGAAGGTGAAGTACACACATAACACATACTAACGTCACGTTGACTCTTTTGTGGCAGCCACTTCTGAGTAAGCTAAGTAGCTAAAATTTGTCAACCTCTCAAGAGAGCCGGGTGGTCGGGAGACATGACTCAGCTGCAGGGGCGCCAGAGCAGCCGCGAGAGATGACTCAGCCGCGAGAGATGACTCATCCGCGTACTAAAGTTGTACTACAAAGTCGCCAGTTCTCAGCTTCCAGCTCCCCAGATACTCCGCGCACTGAAGTTGTACCAGAAAGTCGCCAGTTCTCATCTTCCAGCTCCTCCAAATACTCCGCGGACTAAAGTTGTACTACAAAGTCGCCAGCTCTCAGCTTCCATCTCCCCAAATACTCCGCGTACTCAAGTTGTACTACAAAGTCGCCAGTTCTCAGCTTCCAGCTCCCCAGATACTCCGCGTACTAAAGTTGTACTAGAAAGTTGCCAGTTCTCATCTTCCAGCTCCCCAGATACTCCGCGTACTAAAGTTGTACTACAAAGTCGCCACTTCTCAGCTTCCAGCTCCCCAGATACTCCGCGTACTCAAGTTGTACTACAAGTTCTCAGCTTCCAGCTCCACAGATTGCTCCGCGAACTAAAGGTGTACTACAAAGTCGCCAGTTCTCATCTTCCAGCTCCCCAGATACTCCGCGTACTAA